TTTAATGGGTTGATTAATAAGAGAAACAATATGTGCTAGTGAAATGAGTGTTTCTCAAATAATTTTGGCTACCAAACGAACAATATACGCGACCCAAATTTTCCAATGGCATGAATCAGTAATATTGCGACGTTTGTCTAAGTGTATGAATCCCACATTGAAAAAATGAAGAAAGAACTTTGCATGTACTCATAAGTAGTTGAATTAATTCACATGTTATCAGTTAATATTAATTTTCTTTAATTTGTACACTAGTTAATAAGACTCGATGATTCCTTAGTTTCCCTCAATTCTAAATGTGTGAAAATGCTGCGGGAAATATTTTACAGATAAAAATATGGTGGTATGATTATGACTAGTCAAGACTCAAAGAATAATAATATAGGTAGATCAATTTTTTAGATAAAATTTGTAAATCATATGATGTGTCACCAATGGAAAATAAACACGTTAATCAATAATAAAAATAATTCAATCATTAATAACCATGACATAGGTTTACAAAATTTAATCTAAAAAGTTGGTCTTTTTAACATTACTCAGACTCAAATCTTTTCTACCACAAATATCGCCATCATCAGTATACTATTGTAATTTTTACTTGAGAACCCCAAAGGGCACAAACTCTCACAAATCAATAATTTTTTTTTTCTACGCTAACGGGTGGGGAAGTGGGCTAAACTTCACAATGAGCTAGCAATAATGTAGTTTGCATTCGGCTTTGACGAGAATCGAACCTAAGATCTCTCACTTATATGTAAAAATAAATATCACTAAATTGTAGTACTAAATGATAACTCTCACATATTATTGAGATGAGAGTTTCTCCTCTTTCAGCCAAAAGACCAACTATTCCAAAATCCCACTAGGGGGTCCTTTTGTTCATACGCCTGTTTTGGATATCATTTCATGGCATTAGGTGTACAGATTGCAAACCCAATATTCATATTCCTGGGTTGTTTGGCCCGGTCTTTGCTTCATATTTGGGCTTGGGTTGAAAGTCCTAGTTAGGTTCAGTTGAGAAGCATGAGTCCTCAGGGCTAAAACATATCTTAAAATTTGTTGTTGGACTATCAACTTTCAGGATTTTTCTCTCCTTTGTGTTTGGATGCCAAAAGCTAGATAATACATTCATTAGATAATTTCGGTTGTAAAAAACTAGCATATAAAATACAAAGAAAAGGTATGAAATTATAGAATTGGAGGAGTTTTATTTTGGTGGAAAAAATATTGAAAGAATACAAATTATTACTATGGGACATAGATTCTCTCTGAATCTCATTGTATGAAGCCAACAGACTAGGTAATTCTAACCACTAAAATTAAATATAACAGTCTCCACTAATTCATTCTGTTGGCACACAAACGAAGAACTCTGATATCTCTTTCACATAAACCAAGGGCTTAGAATGTTTATCCAAAAAGCAACGCCTAGTAATGCACCTATCCTATTATATGACATCGTACGCTTATCCAAAAGTGGTTATGGATTAGAAACGTTTTCTAGAGAAGCACCTGTCCTATCGTATGCTTATTCAAAAAGCAAAACCTCCTTCAAAATGCTTCAACATGTTTCTAATGAAACACTTCTAGCAGCAATGTTTTATACCAAGGCAATCTCAGACGAGTTCAAGTTCAGCATCCGTCTTCCCTCATCACTTGTGCATTCTTATTAGGACATTGTAATCACCCTTATTATGCTTCATCTCTCACTAAGCACTGATTAAGCTAAACATACAGCATTGGAGGCTTGGAGCTGATCAGAAGTTAGGTGAAACCACCCCATGCATGCATTCCCAATGACCATTTCTGCATCTCCCCGATCCAAATGACCAAACTGCACGTGCAAGGATCATACCACTGTACGCAAGACGACAAATTGCCATTGTTTGGTGTGCCTTTGTACTTTCCGATGAGAAATAAGATAAACGATCCCGTGAAATTTGTCGGCGGTGTAACCCATGGAGTGTAAAGTCCGTTATGCCACTTCCACTATGCAGCGTACTTAGTTACCTGAGGGTCTATATGTCTTTATGATGACCAGTCAATTGTTGACGAAGCACGTGCCAACTGAATCAAATATGCCATCACCTTCCACCTACGTCAACTGCATATATACCACATAGTGTAGTATCAATCGGAATCAAATATCTACGTAAGTTACTGAGTTACCACCTTAAATTATTTAGTAATCGGAACAGTAGTCTTTCAACTTTAGCTGAATTAGAGTTTTGGCTTTTAAATTAAAATTTCGTGAATGTTTATCCATGAATTTGCTATAATGTGTAACAATTGTCTTTTTAACCAACTTCATTAGAACTTTTGTCCATTTTTTGCCTCTTTAAACCCTTTCGTTTTGGATGAAAGTTCTAACAGAGTTAGAAAAAAGAATTATTGTTCTGCAATATAACAAGTTCAGAGATCATTGCTTTAATTTTCTCAATTATTTAAGTATACTTACATAAAATATTGGTTAAGTATGGTATTACTCATCATAATGTTGGTTAAGCCTTCTACGTTTAAGCCGCCCCTGCTCAAAACATATTTGTATCTTTATTTTAACAAGCTACAATTACAACGATCATCGTCTAGAGACCTTTTCAATCACATAATCATAGTTCACTTACATTTTAACATCACTAGAAAACTGTGAGAACCAAATAAAATTATGATGATCATTTCAACCTATCTGTCAACTGCCATATTAGATTCATAAAGGATATGAGGGATCGATAGCAATGCATATGATAGGATGGTTGACGTTTTTGTGTTCAAATCTCCTCTCCCAAAACATATTTATAATATGATGCAATATTGGACAGTGAACCCTAAGAAAGGGTAAAACATACCTTGGATCTATCATTTCCTTTTTTTTTTTTTTTTTTTCCTTTTCTTTTTTTCAAACAACTATAATTTCCTTTTATTCATAATATTTATGCAGACTCTTCCTTCACTTGGCCATTGTATGTGTATTTATACACACACATACAGACATGAGATTTTATGACGATAAAAATTTAGTGTGAGACATAGAAGACATGTAGTAAGCTTGACAAATGGGTCGTGTTTATCATGTATTTATTTTTTTCGTGCCATATTCGTCATCTTAATAAATTGTGTTGTGTCAAATTCGTTATCTTAACGGGTAGATCCTATAACAATTCAATTCATTAACAGATCGTGTTGTTTCATGTCAGGAATTTGACAAATGATATCTTATCATATTATTAACTTATAATCTCCAACTTATTAACATATTAACTTGAAACTTGTTATTTTTGTATCATTTCAAGCTGGATTAACGGATTGTGCAAATCGTCAAGCCAACACGGAAAGAGAAAGTAATGATGAATAAAAGTGTGCTCTTTTAATTTCTAATGCAATAAGGCAACCTTACCAACCCCACATCCACGTGTTACCGACCAGGACAGATGAATAATTGTCAAATAAGGAAAGTGATTCAGACCTTTGAAATTTGATTCAACAGTTACAAATAAAAGATTTCTTTTAAAAGTGATAATAATTATAGTCGTTTGATCAAATTTTTAACAGTCCACATTCCGAACTAGATGGGTTAGATGGAAAGAGATCTGGCGTCAAATAAGAATCTACTTGTTGATACTAGTGGACCCTCAAATGATTCAAATCACCAATCAAAAGTTCACCCACAACCTGCAAATCCGACAATTCTTTTATACATAAAGAAAGGATAGTGCTTCCTTTTACTTTTCATTTATTTTTAATTTTCAATGAACGATCGAATAAATTAAAAAATAATAATAAAAAGTTTATGAAAAATAAAAATAAATCTGTAAATAACATAATTTTAAAGAAAACATAATATTTGTTAAGTGAATGGATAAAATAATGCACCGGAATGTTGATACAAATTATTGTCCAAACTAAAGCACGATTTGTTTAACGAAGTTGGGTTGTTTTATTGTCACCTCACATTTTTATGAAAACACCCCACATCCAAAAGATTCTCTAAAATTTCAACTTTGTCCCTCATTTTTCTGAAGACACGTCCCACACCATAAAGAAGATAATGGCAAACAAGCCCCAATAAGACATCCACCTATCTTCGAATGCCTCAATCGTCAACATCGGCACAACCGGCAACTCCCATGCCATTGGTAACAACACATCACCTCAACCTATCCAACTGGATAACCCTTCAGCCCCATCACGTCCGTTACGAAAGTTGTCAGTCAGCACCATTCAACTTGTCTCTGTCCAGGAAGTCTATCGTCGCCCTAACTTGCCCATCCCGTCAGAGAGAGAAAGAGAGAGGTAGAGAGGGTATGGTGTTGGTTTTTTGGCCCAGATTTGTTTTGATGGTTGGCTGCCGACATGTTGAATAGGGGGTGTGGATGTGTTTTTATTTTGTCCATCTCAATTTAGTTCGAATAGAGGTAAAAGAGAAAATTCATGCAAGAAAATGAAAATGTGGGATATTAGTAAAACAAAGTTCCATTTTGGTCTTTGTAATTCTAAACAAAGCGATTTGATTATTGTAGTTTTGTCTTCGTGGCACTCAAGGACAATCGCTTTTTCTTATAAAGGCCACATTCTCATTCACACCACACCACCAAAAAGTCCAATTTATCATTACATTTTTAAAAAGTTAACAAAATTAAACCGTCATTCTTGAACCACAACAGTGCAACACTAGAAAACTTTCTAAATTTAGCCATTACGATTAATACTATTTGGACTAAATTTAGCCTAAAGAGAAAACGTCGAGATCCACGTGGCGCAATAAGATTGGACATGCGACGTCGAAAAGATGTACAAAACAGATTTGGCCGGCCGGTGGCAACTTCCCCGTGCGTTCGCTGGTTCATTGTGGACCCCGCTGAAAACGAACGGCTGACGTATGCCCTTCTTCCAGTGGCAAGTTCACAGCCAGACAATCGAGCCGATAGTAAATTACCAAAATGCCCAGGCTCCATGTTTTTGCTATAAAATGCCTCCGTTCCCCAGGGCCAACTGAAACAAACTCTCACACTCCCGACTCCTTCTCGTCTCTCTCTCTCTTTCCCCTCTTTCTCTCTCTAGATATAAGCACATATATATATGCAGCAGCGAGGCAGAGCGAACAACCGAAGATCCAGGAGCTTTTCGAGATCACGCATTGCAATTGAGGGAGCTTAGCCCCGGTCTTCTTCATCTCCTCATTTCACTCGCTCTCGTTCGAATTTGAATTCTTAGCTCTCTCGGTCGCCATTTCTGTCAACAATGGCTGCTTTTGCTAATGGTATGAATCTCTGACGGTGCCATTTTCGTTGTTTTTTTAATTAATTCTTGTGTGTTCGATTCGGATCTCTGAGTTTTGAATTGTGATTGCAGGGGAAGAGCGGGAGGTGCAGAAGAACTACTGGGTGGAGCACTCCGCCGATTTGACCGTTGAGGCCATGATGCTCGACTCCAAGGCCTCTGATCTCGACAAGGAAGAACGACCTGAGGTATATCTATATCTATATATGTATGTATAGCTGTAAATATGTAATGTATATTAAAAACGACAATGCTGCTCAATTGGCGAGGTATTGACCTTTACAAAAACCGGTTTGGACTGTGGAACTATTGGAAAAACCAAAATTTATGGTGAAATCGTAGTTGATTTTTGGATTGAAAGACCGATCTGAGAAAGAACTCTTTGATGAATCTAACAGACCCTGATTATTCGAGGCATGAAACGTTAAAGAAATTACGAATGGATCAGTTCCCATTGCTACAATGCAGACGCTAAATGATCTTCAATTCACTTGACACCCACATTTTTCTTTGTAAGCAAGAAGCTCCAAAGTTTAATACTTTCCTCCGAATGTGGTGACCTGTAGAAAAGGACCGAGTTTTTGAGAATGCATATTGACATTGGGAACATTTTTGTTTGATGTTTCAGCTTTCATGTTGTTTAGGCGGCGTCGATGTTTTGATGGGTTATATGCAGTCTCAGTTTTTCGCTTTTTTGATGTGAACCTGATAAAAGACCTTCCTTTGTCAATAATTTGTGTTTTTCTGGTGTGTTTGACATAATGTTTTCAACATAGTCACTATTGTGTATTCGCGGCTTGATTTAACTGGATCTTATTAGGTGCTTTCGTTGCTCCCTCCCTATGAGGGTAAATCGGTTGTAGAACTCGGAGCTGGGATTGGTCGTTTCACTGGAGAATTAGCTGAAAAGGCCGGTCAGCTTTTCGCATTGGACTTCATTGACAGTGTGATAAAGAAGGTAACGCCATGCTCAATTTTTCGGTCCGCATTACACAATGAACGTGGGACTTCTATCTGTTTTTTTTTAAATTTTAAATCTTTGATACACTATTTTCAGAATGAAAGCATTAATGGACACCATAAGAATGTCAAGTTCATGTGCGCTGATGTGACATCACCTGATCTGAAGATTTCTGAAAACTCGGTGGATTTGGTATTCTCAAATTGGCTTCTTATGTATCTGTCAGATAAGGAGGTAATTTGCACTGATTCTGTTCTATGTGGTTTAAGGATTGTGGTAGAGGTTACTTGTTTGTCATTTTGTCCCGAAATCTAATTGAAATTTTTCGACACTGCAGGTAGAGAATTTGGTGGAAAGGATGATGGGATGGTTGAAGGTCGGTGGATATATCTTTTTCAGAGAATCTTGTTTCCACCAATCTGGAGACTCCAAACGAAAATCCAACCCAACCCATTACAGGGAACCAAGATTTTATACCAAGGTTTGCCTTCTTAATTACTCTGTTTAAGATGTTCTATGGAGGTGCTCCATTTTGTTCACTAAATCATGAAGAGATCGCCATTAGTCTCAGTTCATTGTAGTTTCTTGAAATTAATCGATTTGTGCAATAATATATTTGCATTCGCGTTAATAGGAATGTTCTAATTCCGGCTCTTTTCTATGAAGTAAATTGTGATAGAAATTAATGGTTGACAGAGGTTTACTTGTTTGGAGTTGCATGCTGGCATTCTAATTAGAATCTGAAAACTGTTACGATGTAGGAGTTAAAGTTTGAAAAAATAGAATATAAATACTTGCCAGTGGTTTCTCTTGACTGAAGTTTGGCATGACCAATAGCATTGTATAGAAAGTATATAGTTCTTCCATTTTTGTGCTTGTGTGCAAAGTAATAATTCAGCAGACATTTACATTGTACTGCAGGCTTTCAAAGACTGCCACATGCGTGATGATTCCGGGAATTTCTTTGAACTCTCTCTTGTTAGTTGCAAATGTATTGGAGCTTATGTTCGGAACAAAAGGAATCAAAATCAGGTATAAAACTAGTAGAAGTTTATTCAGTAGTTTTCCTCTCTTATTGTTCAACTAGCTGGCTCACAACATTATTGGTTACTACAGATCTGCTGGTTATGGCAGAAAGTCCCTTCAGAAAATGATAGAGGGTTCCAGCAGTTCTTAGATAATGTTCAGTATAAAAATACTGGCATACTACGATATGAGCGTGTCTTTGGGCGAGGTTTCGTGAGCACAGGAGGGATCGGTAATAACTGTTGGCTGCTTATATATCTTCTGTTCTCTGATTGATTGTCCTAACATGTCTGATGTGAGTGAACCCTTCTCTTTTGAGCAGAAACTACTAAAGAATTTGTGGCAAAGTTGGATCTGAAGCCTGGCCAGAAAGTTCTCGATGTAGGCTGTGGCATTGGGGGAGGTGACTTCTATATGGCCTCAAACTTTGATGTTGAAGTTATTGGAATTGACCTCTCTGTGAATATGATTTCTTTTGCTCTCGAACAATCTATTGGACTCAAATGCGCTGTCGAGTTTGAAGTTGCTGATTGCACAAAAAAGACTTATCCTGACAATACCTTCGATGTGATATACAGTCGTGACACCATTTTACACATTCAAGTAAGTGCGCCCCTCGTCATTTCTCTATAGGAATCATGCTCTTTCAGCAACTTTATACTAATTTTTCATGTTTCGCGAAAATTTTCATTTACAGGACAAGCCTGCATTGTTCCGATCCTTCTACAAGTGGTTGAAGCCAGGCGGCAAAGTTCTCATCAGTGATTACTGTAGGTGTGCTGGAACTCCATTGGAAAACTTTGCTGACTATATTAAGCAAAGAGGATACGATCTCCATGATGTAAAAGCTTATGGTCAGGTATGCTTGCAATTTTACGTCTGATTGCTTTTACCAGCTCGTCTTTCAAAATCATTTATTCGTATTTCCTTGACATAAAATTATACTTGTACATTCATACCGATCTCAGATGCTCAAGGATGCTGGCTTTGATGAGGTCATTGCTGAGGATCGAACTGATCAGTTCAAAGCAGTTTTGGAGCGGGAACTGGCGGCTGTTGAGAAGGATAAGGATTCATTCGTCCAGGACTTTTCTAAAGTGCGTTTCTTCCTCGTATCTATGTTTTTCGCATTGATATATTGAATACTGTATCCATTCATTCTTCTGATTCTTTGTGATTGACAAAATAAACAGGAGGATTATGATGACATCGTTGGTGGATGGAAGGCAAAGCTGATCAGGGTTGATTCCGGCGAGCAGAAGTGGGGCCTGTTCATTGCCAAGAAGAATTGATCCTTCTAATAATCTTCATATCCAGAGTTTTATTAAACTATGTATTTTGGATGAACATTGCTTGTGATTTAGTATTTTCTGTTGTCGTTGGTGTGACGTATTTTGGATGAACATTGCTCGTGATTTAGTATGTATTTCAATATAATAAAAGTGTGGCGTGATGTCTTTGAACTTTCGCCGCTATGTAATGGAATTGGGGTTTGTAATTCTTCAGTTGTTATGATAAGAATCGTTGATAAGTTTGTGTTCGCTACTTTCAAACTTGTACGTATATACAGACGGAGAAAGAAATAGGTGAGATCACTTGAAGAAATCTGTGACATTCTTTTCGGATCTGACAACAACCGGTGAAGTAGAGAGTCCGTTTTGAAATTTATGCTCGACTGGAACTCGTTGGAGATCACCTTTCTCATTACCATCTTCAGCCACCGTAAATTCTCTGGGGGACGAGGACCCGAAAATCTGCACCAGTAAGCTTCCACCTGAAATAACATGAAGCTGAATCAATTCTATAGGTCTATCGTACTCCCTGTTTGTTGTGATCAAGTGGATACGAAGTATAAGGTGTATAAACGTAACAAATCAGAACAGCAAGACGAAGAAAGTACTTACCAAGAACAAGAGCAGCGCCTAACCATCCAAGCATACCCCATCTTTCACCAAGCAGAAACCAAGCAAAACCAGCACCCCAGAGTGGTTCCATCCCGTAAATTATGGCTGTTTCTGTTGCTGAAACATCACACATCGCTGCAATCTGCAGTGATGAACATTTTTTTACAAGGAACTTTTGTAAAACAACCCCTAGAAAGTATTGGGCAATTGGTGATACAAGAAAGGACACCACAGCTTCCTAATCGTGTGCTTAAATTCAGTTTGTGGAACGAGTTGAGTGTGACCAAAGGAACCCTACCTCAATCCATAAGCATAATCCGGTTGAAAATGCACCGGTATAAATTGCTGGTATCCATGGAAATACAACAAGCCAGTCCCACAGCTCTGTCCATGTCCATGGGGATTGGTTGGAATAGTTGGTACCATCAAACCACCCTCCAATGAAAACCCAAATTGTTGATATCATAGCAACAACACAAACCTCAAATCCAAGAATTGCTAAGAAGTTTTCTTTCTTTGTGCTTCTGGAAATCTGTTCAGTTCGAAGCATGTGAATTCCAAAAAATATTGCACTCAAGAAGTTCAAAAGATCTCCAACCTGAGAAAAGGCAAGTAGGAACGGTGAATAATGTGTTAAATTATCACAGCGCTTTTCTACAACATTACGAACACTAAAGCATCAAGAACTTAACCATGTCACGCTTACATTCGGAGGTGATCCGCTGCATTCGAGCATAGCAATCCCGAGAGCAGACATGAGGACTCCGAACCAGGTACGAGTAGGTATGGTTGCTCCAAGCATGCCATCAAGCAAGGGTACCGTGATAACCTGTTCGACATAGCAGGATTTTACAAAAACGTACTGATGCTCCCAAAGACAGACACTATTCGTGGTTTTTGCCGAGGTACAATGGTATTATTGACAGAAAAACAGTAGCTACTAGAAAGATCATGAAAATTTTGAACCTACTGTGAACAGAGAAATGAATGATGCACGCCCAGCATCAGATGTAAGCAAACCAAGTGCCTCAAGAAGGTATCCTAGACTGATCCAGAACCCCAACTCCATGCCTGAATTGCGAGTCTGGACATCACCTCGCGATTGAAACACAAATGGAAGAAATGGGATGGCTGACATGACAAATCGTACCACTGAGAAGGCTGCAGGATCCATGAAAGCTTCAACTTCTTTAATAACTGGAATGTCACTTGCTGCAGTTTGAATCAGCACACACCTTAGAAATTTGTGACTTCAGAACCCTTAACAAACCAAATGTGACAAATAATCAGTCTTTCTCTGCGCAGGACTTCATTTCTTTCTTTTTCTAAAGATCCAACGCTTTGAGAAAATCACACTTCTACTTATTTTTTCAACTTCGATCAAATTTATTCTTTGTCAATTGTTTTATGGTGTAGAATCATCATTTAGAGCTTGAAATTGAGGTTTTTAGTCTCGGATTGGTTAACAAATTAGTAGGTAAAGTTGCTTCCCATGTCTTGTAATAAGGCAAGGCAAATTGCTTAAGGGAAAAAAGACATACCATATACAATTGTGATGAAATTGAGCAGCATAATACTCCTAAACTTCTTGGATGCGAAGAAAACCTTCTGCCATGACGATGGCCACTTTCTTGATCCAGATTTCGATCCCATACTTTCGCCATTCTTAGTCTCATCCTTCTTGCTCTTCTTAATCTTCTTATCGGATTGTCTACGCTCATCGCCATGCAAAACCGAGGAAGCCCCATCCTTGGTTCTTTGTACTTCAAGAGACTTTCTGTTTGTTATGTTCTTGCAACTAGCTTTCTGTGAGGCTGAAGAAGAAGATGTTGTTGATGAAGTGGAGATGGGGTCTAACGAACAAGTGAGGAAACGGCGGCTTTTGTTGCGAATGGCGGAGGAGAAGAGGAGCATGGAGGAGCTGTTGTTAAAGCAGCTTGAAATTTTGGAAGCAGATTCAGCTTTTGTTCTCCATATTGTTGATGATTGGCATGCCATGTATGAGTACTCAACTAAAACCCAATCCCTCTCTCTCTCCTTTTTTATGGCTTAAATTAATTCAAGTATTCAGTTTTTTCACCTGTTTTGTAGCTTAAATTTAAGTTTTCAGAAATTTATAATTTAACTGACTTTTCAAAGAACGATATTTCTACCAATGAGGAAATTTCCAAACGTGTGGCACATGGGATTTGATTTGTGGTGGAAGGTGGTCCAAATTAAGTCTTCATGTTTGTGAAACCAAATTATTATTGTTGCTTTGCAATAATTCATTTCAAAAGGGAAAACATAAGGTCGGTCGGCTACATCAATATGTATGCCTTTTTGTATTTGAATTCGAATTTGAATTCAATTTTCAGTGAAATAGCAAAATTACATACTAATAATCCGGCTAGAGAGTACAAATTTATTTCTGGTCTAGTAATATTTCTCTTTTCAATGTTGTAAGAGGTCTCAGAAAGATGGCTCAAAAAAGAATGCTTGGTGCATGTAATCATATACATATCTACAAATAACAATAAAGTCTTATCTCACTAAGTGAAGTCGGCTGTATAAATTCTAGAACATCGCTGCACTCGATTTTGCACCAAGTAATCGTATACATATCTGCATGATATAAATATTAAGGTGATGCATATGTATAATTTTATCCTAGAAGCAAAAAGCTTATTACAAGCAAGGGCTTCACTTATGAAGGAAAACTAAATTTACTAAATTCCCATACAAACACAATATTGCAGTACTCGTAGATTATGTTTGCAAAAATGAACACCTTAATTATAACGTTAATTATTGCTTGCATCACACGAAACAGCAAACTCGTCAAATCAAACACCTTCAGAGTTCTTCTCCACCTCCCATCCCTTCTCCCTCTTCGGCGTAATCGCCATCTTCGTCAACCGTGGCATCTTGGTACTGTTGGTATTCCGCAACAAGATCGTTCATGTTACTCTCCGCTTCCGTAAACTCCATCTCATCCATTCCCTCTCCGGTATACCAGTGCAAAAAGGCCTTCCTCCTAAACATTGCCGTGAACTGCTCGCTCACTCTTCGAAACATCTCTTGTATAGAAGTCGAATTTCCAATAAATGTCGAAGACATTATAAGACCTTGCGGCGGAATGTCACAAACGCTGGACTTGACATTGTTTGGAATCCACTCAACAAAGTAGGAGGAGTTCTTGTTCTGCACATTCATCATCTGTTCGTCAACTTCTTTCGTGCTCATTTTGCCTCGAAACATCGCTGATGCTGTGAGGTAACGCCCATGGCGCGGATCTGCTGCGCACATCATATTCTTTGCATCCCACATTTGTTGTGTCAGTTCGGGGACGGATAATGCGCAGTACTGCTGCGATCCTCGAGATGTCAGAGGTGCAAATCCCACCATGAAGAAGTGTAGTCGAGGGAATGGGATTAAATTCACGGCTAGCTTTCGCAGATCCGAGTTCAATTGTCCAGGGAAGCGTAGACAACAAGTAACTCCGCTCATAGTTCCCGAAATCAGATGATTCAAATCCCCAACTGGAACACACAAAAGTAAATATTTTGTGTGATGCCAAAATTTTTATCAAGAAAAAGTCAATCAACATTTTACGCTTTAGAATTAAGGATGATTTGCATGTTGGAGTTTCAAATACGTGGATTCAACTCACAGCTTGGGGTGGTGAGCTTAAGAGTCCTGAAGCATATATCGTAGAGGGCTTCGTTGTCGAGGACCATACATTCATCTCCATTCTCAACCAGTTGGTGAACGGAAAGTGTGGCATTGTAAGGCTCCACGACGGTGTCTGAAACCTTCGGAGATGGAAAGACAGAGAAGGTGAGCATCATTCGATCCGGAAATTCTTCTCTTACCTTTGAAATGAGGAGAGTTCCCATTCCAGAACCGGTTCCGCCTCCAAGTGAGTGACATACTTGAAATCCTGAATCAAGTAAAGGTCTAAAATATTAATGACATGAAGTTGTAGCATCTGAAAATTTTGTCCAATCTCTGATAGTATATCTATGATTTATGAAAAAAATTGTCCTTGAATTTGTACACGTTATGAAATTTTTAAATCTAGCCCTGCAAAACGAGATGTTTGTATAATCTAAAATATTACAAAATTTTTGTTGTGATATCAATTACTATTTTTTTTTATTTATAAAAAGATGACCAACTGGTAGTTTCGCCACAGCAGTCCACTCTTTCGGGGTTCATGAAGTCTCAGAAAAGCATTTCAGCCTCTTCTTGGCCTTCGTCGTATGATTCACCAGCATCAGGAATTGAACCCAAGACGTGCTATATGGAATACGACCTTGGAATTCGTCCCCAACCCTAAATATTATTTAGGTTATACAACACAAATTCTATATGTATGATTGAATATACGTGTAGTTAATATTGCCGAAAATGTACTGACAATAATGATACTTACACATTATAGATGACATATCGACAATCTGATGTCCATTGGGATGTATAATACAATGTGTAGAAATTATTTATGATAAAAACACAATCAAATCATGCCAATTATATTTTGTGATGATGAAAGAAAATTAGATAAATAAATAAAAACTATACATTCTTACCTTGCAAGCAATCACAGTTCTCAGCCTCTTTCCTAACAACATCGAGCACCGAATCAATGAGCTCAGCGCCTTCCGTGTAATGCCCTTTAGCCCAATTGTTTCCGGCCCCGGACTGGCCAAAAACAAAGTTATCCGGTCGGAAAATCTGGCCATAAGGCCCTGCGCGGATGCTGTCCATAGTGCCTGGCTCGAGGTCCATGAGCACCGCGCGAGGTACGTAACGGCCGCCGCTGGCCTCGTTGTAATAAACATTCACCCTCTCCAACTGAATGTCGGTGTTACCGGTGTACTGCCCGGTGGGGTCTATGCCGTGCTCGTCGCACACAACCTCCCAGAACTTTGCTCCTATTTGGTTCCCACATTGCCCTCCCTGGATGTGCAGAATCTCTCTCATTTTCGCCAATGTGTAGGGGTAAAACGGTGAAGATCCGTAAAATATATATGTATAAAACTACCGGTGACTGTTTTCTTGAAAGGAAGGGCTATTATTTTGGAGGGAAGGGTAGGGGTTATTTATACGGAGGGAGGGAGGATGATCTAGCGGTGGGGAGATGGGTGATGAAGAGTAGGCAGTCTGATCTGGACGGTTGAGAGTGTCCGTCCGATGGGAGGTGGTGGGGGTGGGTGGTTAGTTATGGGACGTGAATAGTTGCCATGTGTAGATGATTCAATCAGTATCGCCGGCTTAACAGGGCCATGTTTTTATTGAATAATGTTTAGCTGATGAAAGAAGAGCGGTAAGTCTTGTTGAAATTTACAAGTCTTTAATTATAAATGGACATATGTTTATTTTTAATTTGTTTTTCAGCGGGACTTACTGCTCTTCTTTCAACAGCCATGAAATATTTGTTTTTATTTATACATCATTTTACAATACACTCACAATATCAAAGAAACTATGTCACAATAATCTAATCATCATAAATAATTAAACTCATTATAAATGCATATAATTTCTTGACACTTCGCTATTCATGTATTCAATTCTTTTCTAACTAAGTAAAAATATGTACCACTATCGATTGATCTAATTTTTCTTATTTTACGAAGGCAAATTTTGTGCTTTTCTTTGTAGATAATTGCACACAATTTCCATCACATTGTCACCTACAATGGCATTGCCGTTGTTTCATGTTCATAAGCACCTTTGACGTTGACTTTGACTTTGACTTAATCAGCACTTGGGTTTGGGCTTTATAGTATGTGACCAAATGGGCCTCCTACAACATATTTGGGTCAAATCCATTATAGCGGGGCAAGGCTCCTTGTTCTTCCATCTCTTTTTTCAATTTTTGTTCTTCGAAAAGTCCAGAAAAATTACATTGTACTTCTCCCTTTGAAAAAAAGAAAGAAGAAATTGCACATAGGGATACATGTTAAGAGTGTCAATAACATATCTCTTTCACTATGATATATATAAATTAGAGCTCAAACGCTAACTTTTGCTTTATCTAACTTGCCCAAATAACTCGTTTACGACCACTTGATAATCTATCTCAAGATCCAAACCTCTATTTGTTATCGTCAAATAACCAATTGAATGCAACATTTACGATAAACAATGAATATATTCACAACTACAATCGAAGGTCTAAAAGATTTTCGACTTTAGCTAAATTTGCATGGATTCCAGTAAAAACTCTGAAATGAACGGTTCAAGTTATGAGATTTCATTATGGAGTACTGAACCACAATAAGTAATTAGCATCTTATTAATTTACTGATTACTCTACGTTTCTTTCTCATATGCATTTTATTAGTGTGGTGCATAAAATTTGCAACCGTGATTGTTCTTAAGGTAAATTACAATTTGCACTCTCAAATTTTGGAGTAATTGCAATGAATAAAGGCATCATCTCTAAAGCCTATTTAGAAGAGGATACCTAACCAAGGCTATAGCCAAATAATTTGAGCTTGTACGTGGGTGATAGAGATTTTACCACACACGCAAAAGGGTTAAAAACTCCTATAAAACTTGCAAGAATGACAAGGTTATCGTAGTATAAACAGATCTCGCAAGGTCATTCTCCATAGGGATTATTAAATAATTCGAAGCAAATCCAATTTCATTAATTATTGTAAAACAGAAATTTAAGATGATTGATTTTTATGACCTAATTTAATAAACCGAATTTAACTAATAAAAGAAACTAATCTGCAATATTAAAGATGAAGAAAGAGGAAACAATTTTGTAGAAATCAAATTAAGAAAGCATTAGGGTTCCGCTGTCACCTTAATGATCCTATATAGTTTTCCCAATTACTTATGAACTACATATGCATATTTCAAAGGTTAGGTTTTCCTAATATATGCCTACTTGGACCCCCAACATAGAGCATATATCAAACTTGCAATCCGTATGTGGTATTCAGATCAAATTTAAACATGCATGACTCATTAAGTTTTGTGAAACCTTTTGAAAGCCCATGCAACCCTTAAGACGTGGTATTCATCTTAAGTGAACTTGCATATATTAATCACAAGAAACCTTTGTCAATTTCAGGGACCGACCTCCGACCAAAATTGCATCAAATTACTTTTCTAAACATCCTAATGGTGATCAAGCATCAAGACAATTAGATAGTTTAAACTGGTGATTAATAACTCGAAAACCTGCATGCATATAATCATAAGCAAATTGAAGAAAAATTACATATTCTTGCTAACGCTTGTGGTCTCACCCTAGCAAAAGAAAATTAGTTATGCATATTCATAATAAAAATCATAAAGTTCTTCATTGAAATAATAAAAGATCAAAAACACCTTGAATGAAAAAAGTTTAAAAATCTCTACGCTTTGGCCAATTTCCTCTCTTCAAGAACGCACAGAGAGAAAGTTCATGCTATCAATAGGGCCGGCCAAGCTTTTTATTTAACCTAGGAAAAATTAAATCCTCCTACAACAAAGGTCTTCCAATCCAACTAGAAAACTAATTACCAAAATAAAATAAGAAACACAACCCTAAATTAAATGATAAATTAGCCTAAAGTCTGAACAGCACGTTTTGGACCCTTAAGATGCTTCAAAACCGGCCCAATATAGCTGGATTTCAAGTTTGGGATATTCTGAACACTTCTCCAGAAGGTCACGAACCCATCAGAGGTCATCTCAGGCTCTAAAAATGCAATTTAAGCTTAGAAATGTTATTTTTCAGCACTGCGCATTGCTTTTTTATTCTACCGCGAGAAAATAACTGTTTGGTAGAAAAATCCCAAATTTATACGAACACGTTGAGAGACACACGAACGTCTTTCAATTTGAATCACTTAAAAATTCGTCCATTTGATCATGTTTTGCTCCAGAGAAAGTCGGATGTCCTATATTGAAAATATAAAACAAAGCATCAAAATTCTACCAAAATGATTACCAAAACATACTAAGAATATGATAAAATATATACTATGAAATTGACTCATCAGTGGGCAATTAACTTGGCTTAACCATTTGCCCTAACCACGAATTGTCAACATGTTCCTTTTTATTTTTGTTGGTAAACTTGCTCAAAATAATACTGAGGAATTAAAATGCCCCAAAACATCCTTCAGAAACTTCAAAGTTCTTCGAGTCATGTTGCTAATCGCCAATCGTCTTCTACTCTACAATAATGGAACCTCATGATCCGAACACTTCATTTTTTGCATAGGTTCTTATTCAAAAGTCATACCTGAAAATTTTCACCCAAATCGGTGTATAAATTATATATCAGTGCCACATTAATCAAGGTATTATTACTACTAACTGTATCCAAAATATCGATTCGCAAAAGAGAATTCATCCTCTTCAGAGACTTGACCAAGGGGTAGAGATCTTTGCACGCTTCTCTCTGGCAGATTCACATCCCTACAAGTTCTTTTGAAGAAGAATGCTACCCGTCCCCTTCCCTTTCTACGATGACTGACACGCGTATATCAGGGGTAAAATAAATTTACTGTACAAAAAAAAATGAGCTGAGAATGTGTAGCAGCCGAGGGGCATTTCAGTCCAAATACTGTTAATAAACAGTATTTTAGCTGATTTTTTTTTGTTTTTTTTGGTATAGCAGAATTTGGCATGTTAATGCATACAAATTTGATTTTATATTCATATGCATGTAGCAAGTAGCATGTACATATATACAGAATTAGAGAAGGTAGGCCCCAGGTTTGAAACGAACAAAAAAAAAAGAATAATAATTAAACAATTATGAGTTTGAAAACCCAGAAGGGGCTGCAAGTGCAGTATGTATATCTGGGACATTAGGACATGCACTCGAGAACTGAGTCATTCCATCGTAATAATGAGGTTTCAGGGAGGACTGTAGGGCTGTGGCTTATATCTTGAAGATAAATACAGCAACTGAGGGAGAGAAGCTCTGCCGCATTCTTTTTTATTTTATTTTATTTTCCAATGGCAGCAGAAATGGACCCAGGAAAAACTGAATGGAAGGAAGATGACAAATGAGAGACATACAGTAACTTTGGTAACATGTCAAGGGGCAAATCTCTTTCCGTATACCATAATTAATATATTTTGTATATATATATATTTACAAGTATTATATCGCAGACAGTCTAAAAGAACAAATTATTCACACACTTATTTGGTTATATATGGAATTGATATGTATGCATGAATATCACATCACATAGAACAGAATGAAAATTTTGCAAGATGATTGGACAGTGGAGAGTAGATGCAGATTGGGTCAAATCTGTTGGGCGGGCAAGTGAAACATTAGGTTAAAAAACAAGAATACAACAACAACAAAACATTTTCTCATTAAGAAGGATCGGCTACATGAATCCTAGAATGTCATTGCGCTCGATTCTGTGTCACATCTTCCATTAGATCCAAGTACTCTAAGTCTTTTCTTAGAGTCTCTTCCAAAGTCTTCCTAGATCTTCATTTACCCCTTCGATCCTGAACCTCTGTCCTCTTAATCGCATCTTCTAACTGGAGCGTCAGTAGGCCTTCGTTGCACATGTCCAAACCACAGTAACCAATTTTCTCTCATCTTTCCTTCAATTTTGGCTACTCCTACTTTACCTCGGGTATCCCCATTCCTAATCTTATCCTTTCTCGTGTGCCCACACATCTAACAAAACATTCTCATCTTCGCTACACCCATTTTATGTACGTGTTGATACTTCACCACCCAACATTTCGTGCCATAAAACATTGCAAAATTTCCTTGAGCTTCAGTGGCAAATGATGGTCACACAATATGCCAAATACACTCTTCCACTTCATCCATCTAGCTTGTATTCTATGGTTGACGTCTCCATCCAACTCTCCGTTCTTTTGCAAGATAGATCCTAGATAGTGAAAACGGTCACTCTTTGGTACTTTTGGATCTCCAATCTTCACCCCTAACTCATTTGAGCCTCCATTTGCACTAAACTTGCATTCCATATACTCTATCTTTGACCGACTAAGACAAAGACCTTTAGATTCCAACATTTCTCTCCAAAAGTTAAAAAACAAGAATGCAAGATAAAAACATCAGTACATTAAATCTGCAGAAGAGAGAGAGACATGCAATATGTTGCTTGTCTTTGTGGTAACTGGTAAGTAAGGAATATATCTAAGCGTGGCATGGCATGCGGAATGGTGTTGCATGCAGTATGGGTGAGGGGTGGAAGCATGGATGTGTCAACATACTATTTAAGCAAGATTTGATTTTATGTTGAGATTTTAAAGTGACAAATGAGCGACGACTAATCAAATATTGTTTTCAACTAACATTTAACCGCTTATTAGCACTTCAGGTTAGGGTTTTACCTTAAAATATTTTGATACAATTAGTAGTAAATATTTCTTCGTATATATTTTATTTCGTCAAGTTTTCAACGTAAAGTTCTTATATTATTCAACATGGTGTAGTGTGGAAGTATGGAGGTGTCAAAATCTCAGCATGCTTTGATCTCATGTCGAGATTTCAGAAAGACAAACCAACAACTTACTAATAGTAATCATACTAATATTGTTCTTAACTTGCATTTAACCGGTTATTAGCACATCAAGTTAGAGTTTTGTCTGAAAATATTCTGATATAATAGTAATAAAAAAGTTCAAATTCATTGTATACATTTTACCTTATAATATGTAATATAGACAAGAGAAAGGGGAAGATTAATTAAGGGGCAGGCAGAGAGAGGGGGCAGGCAAGGAAGGCAGGCAGGCAGTTCGGATTGAGAATAAGTGTGAAAGGCACGAGACGTGAAGAGAACAGTAAATGAGAGAGAGAGAGAGAGAGAGAGAGAGAGAGAGGGTAAAGAAAGAAGGGTGATAAGGCTTATGATAACCCTCATGATCGTCACGTCGTTTTTCATTTCCTACTCCCGATGTCCCTCCCAGAATTCCACGCTTCGCTTTCCCTCTTCTTCCTTCCACACTACTGCCCTCGTGCTCCCTCTCTTCTCGCTCTCTCTCTCTCTCTCTCTCTCTCTCTCTCTCTCTCTCTCTCTCTCTGCTTTTGTTTTCCTTTTTCCTTTGTCCCCTTCCTTCTCCGCGGGACTCTCTTTCCTCATACCAGAGATTTTTCAGTATGATCGGCATACGGGGTAGTACATTATGTGTTCTTATACAAATGATAAGATATGTGTGCTAAAAAGTTAATAACTTAAACAATAAAATTTTCCACCATTTCTATTAAAACACGTGATGTACCACTTATGATTCCGTCAAAACTAAAAATTTCTCCATACATACAAGACATACAAGTCTTCAAATGAATATATTATTGTGTAATAGTTCAGTTTAATAATAAAATTTTATGTGTAAGTTCCTCTTCACATAATACTTTGGTATTAGATCAAAACATTACAATGTAAAGTGACTCATTCGATATATATATATATATATAAGTTGTTTTCCTTCAATATTCTCTGTCATTCTAAATTAAAATACCAATAATGTATTGTGCAAAGGGCGCCTAGTCAACCTCATGCCTTGCCTCACTTTCTTGCTCTGTATTCCACCACACTATAATACTATTCTCTCTCTCACACACACACACACACACACACACTCTCTCTCTCTCTCTCTCTCTCTCTCTTCCTTTTTGAATTCCATACAATAGTGTGTTATATAGCTAGTGATCAATCCCCATCACTGAATGTCTGAAACTCAAATATTACATCACTACTATTTCAGCTCAACTAACCCTTTTGCCACGAGACTCTCTCTCTCTAATATAGAGCTTCACCATATACTAAAGAAAACCCGTTCTATTCTACCTATATGAGGCAGCTAGGCAACACCCTGTCTTAACCCCCATCTCCTCCATGCCCCTCAACACTACTTTCACCATTCCAATCTCCCTTGCATGCTCTTCCACTACATTCCCATTTTTCCAAGTCCACCACCACCATCGTATTCCACAACTCACATTACCTCAAATGGAAAAAAATCACTTCTTACAAATACTACTCCTCTTGTTCTTGTTTTTGTAATTATTGCAAACCTTTAGACCATTACCTTGGGTGAGTGAGAGAGAGAGAGGGCTAGTCACACAGAAACCCTAGCTTGATCAAAATGTGGATGATGGGTTATAATGACGGTGGCCATGGCGATTTCAACATGCCGGATTCTTTCAATGGACGGAAGCTCCGCACTCTCATTCCGAGGCAGCTTCCCTCTGTAAACAACACTTCTTCGACCATCACAACTCCTCCTTGTCTAAACCGATCAGCAATTCATGGCTCTCACGATTTCCTTACGCAGTATCACCAACTCGCCGGTATTATATATAAACTAGCTACCTTGCTACCGGAAGTAGTAGTCAACATTGACGGTTGTTGAGGAGCTAAACTTACATAATTATCTTCTATTTACACATAAAAATACTAGCTACCTTGCTACCTTATCTTTCTTTTTGATCTATCTATCTTTTAATTTCCATTTATCTTGTGTTTTTGTGTACATACAGCTATGGCTGAACAAAACAAGAGATCGGAATTTCTGAACACGCCACAGGTTGTGGTGAGCTCAAGATGGAACCCCACTCCGGAGCAGCTGAGGGCTCTTGAAGAATTATACAGACGAGGGACTCGAACGCCGTCGGCAGAGCAGATTCAGCACATCACGGCACAGCTTCGAAAATATGGAAAGATAGAAGGGAAGAATGTCTTCTATTGGTTCCAAAACCACAAGGCCAGAGAAAGGCAGAAACGTCGCCGTCAAATGGAATCATCTGCCCTCTCTGCAGAACACGACCAGCAACTGCAAATATCAATGACGTCTACAGATAATCAAAAGAAAGAAGAATTATTAGGTACTCATCATCAATCATGAACCCAACTTACATAAAATAATACTACTGTTAATTCACTACTCTATCCCTTTATTAATGTTCTTGTTTTGTTTCTTTTTTGAGAAAGAAAGTAGTTAATTAGTTAGAGATATATGTTCGTTTAAACTTTGAAAAGTTTTGCTTGGCCTTTTCACTTAATTCAATTGCTATTAGCACTCTAAAATAGTCATTTGCATTCATCTCTTCGTTATTTTTTTCCATTAGAAAGGAGTGCAAATGACAGTATGGGAGTGAAAATAACACTCAGTCCAGTTCGTTCTTAACTTTTTGTTTACTAGGGATGTTCTTTTTCAATTAATTTAGGAAATTGTTATTGGCACTTCAAAATTCTCATTTTACACTCTAAACTTTCTATATTTAGAAAGAAAAATACAGTTGTGAGGAGTGTAGAATAAGATTTTTGGAGTGTCAATAATACTTCCCTTAATTTATTGCCAATATATATATGTAATATTTCACTTTGTTTGTGGTTTCAGAATTGAAAGATATGTATCGATGCAGGTTGTAAAGTCGTATTCTTTTTGTTTTTCTTTATGTCTACATATTATAGGGGCCAGTAGGACAGGTTTTGAAGTCGCAGAGACCAAAAACTGGGCACCCTCTACAAACTGCAATACTGCTGCTACACTTGTTGAGGTCTATTTCAATTCCTCTCTACTCTCTCAATCTTCATAGCTTGTTTTTATCATTCTATATCTAGGTTAGACTAGCTAGGTAGCTATATCCTATATATATGGTCTCTTTTATCTACTAGTTAGGATTCCTCAAATCAAAAGCCTCTAAAAAGTAGTCTTATAATGATTAATTACTAATATGCAATTAGGGCAGAACTATTGCATAATGATTATTTATGGAATATTCATGATTATTTCAAAGCAATATGCGTATATCATGGTATGCTAAGAAAATATATGTGTAAATTATCGTAAGGAAGCAAGCAAGCAAGCTAGTAATACCAAAAGCTTTGTTTATTGGGAAATGAAAAGGGTCTAAAAGCTGTATTCCTTCCTTTCTGTCGGGGCTGCTGTTATGAAACTTAATTAGCTAGGGTTTTGGGCCTTGTGCTTTGCTTATTCATGTCATTTGGTCACAGACCACACTGATTCTATGGAAATGACTAAATGAGCACCAAGCTGGTTCTAAAATGACAATGATAACCCTATCTCAAATTATTAGATGAAAATTATTAAAATCCAACTATGTAAATGCAGTCTGTCCAATATACGGATGTATGAAATTGTGGAATTTTCGAAACTAAGGGCATCAACATTGACTTGTTTTTATTTTGGCTTCAATGGGGGTTTCAGGAATCAGACCATGAGTTTTCATGCATGCTATGCCCTTAATGTCTGTATTAATAAATATAATTTTAAAATGGGTTTATCTATTGATCAACAGGAATCGGTTTCAATACAAAGGGCAGCAAAAACAGCGGCAGCAGAGTGCAGGACGGATGGATGGATCCAATTCGACGAAGAAGAATTGCAGCAAAGAAGAAACTTTGTAGAAAGGAATGCCACGTGGCAGATGATGCAGTTGTCCTGTCCTTCTCACCCTCCCACCCACCTCATAAACACCCCTCCTACTTGTGCTAGTACGATGGCCAGATCTAGGGCAGCAGCTACTGTAAGAAGGGACCAAAGGCTCTTTAAGTCTCATGATCTCAGCATCTTCATAGCGCCCTACACATCAGAAACTGGTTTCAACACTGTCACTGAGCAAGATCCTGGATGTGAGGAATCTCAAACCCTTCAACTCTTTCCTCTTAGAAGCGGTCATGTCAATGCCTGTGCCAATGCCAATGAGCTAAGCGTTAACGATAAGGATCATACGGAGCTATCCGCTACCTTCAGTGCTCATCCTTTCCCCTTTTTTGAGTTCCTTCCATTAAAGAACTAATTATTATGTAATAACCACTTAATTATTTGCTATAGATGACGTAAGATGATGGTATCGTTATTGGGAGGTGTTTAGATTTTGTTATTTTGTTGGAAAATGGAGGACTGTTAATTTAGTAATTAAGAAGCTGTTGTTGATGTTACATTTCATGGGAGTTGTGTAATGCGCCATTGTATGAATGTACGTGGATATCGAAGAAGGTTGGACCATGTTGGTTGAATCAATGCAAATTAACATTAAAGCACATTGCAGAGGTTTAATGTCCATCCACACACGGGCCTTGTTTAAGCAATGACTGTGGATGTGTCATGTGATTGAGAATGACTTACATTCTAGGGATGCTTTAGTATTGCGAATGTATCGGTATCGGGGCATCATGTATTATATTAATAATATTACTACATGTAAACTTTTTTTCAAATGTTTTGTCATTAGCACGATATGTTATATATACTAACTGTGTATCAATGTATTCAATGACGGAGCTAACATGGGGTCATTGGTTATCCTTGACTTCAACAACTTCAAAAACCCCATGTATATTTGTTTGTATATTATATTTGACTGCTATAAACAGCTAAGAAAACTAAATTACATCCTTCTCCTTCTACTTTTTTTTTTTCTACTATCATATTTGTCTTCTTTTTCTCTCTTCTTGTAAAAAATACTTTAGTTGAAATGTCTTGGCAGTCTTTAACATTACTGCACAGTATCATGCATGCACCGTTGACAAGTCTCTACAAATGTCGATGTATGTCAGAATAAACTTTCGGCATATGTTGACAGGAATTAGAAGGTGCATACTAGATGCTTGACGAAATGGCTCCATAAAGCTTTTTTTTTATTGATATTATGACCCCATTATTTGAAAATCTTGACTACGCCACTGAGTGTATTAGTGTCGTGCGATGAATATTTATATGTGATTGTATATGCATTAAGAGAGAGAGAGAGAGATGGGTCTCGACAGAAGGGATTAAAAAAAATTGGATGATGGATGCATGGGAGAGAGTTTGACGTTGATATGAGGAATCAGAGATGGAATTAATTAATCAATTAATTTTAGATGAGAGTAAAAGAGCTTGATGTTGAAGCGACGAAGAATATAGGTTGGGGAGGATAGTTTTGTTCTTTTGTTACAAATTTAACAAATGATATGGTAATGATGTGATCCACATTCCATACAATTAATATTTGCCCACTATCTTGAAAACGAATCCAGCATTTTAACTCCCCTGACCAAAAGTAAATAAAACTTTTTTTAGAAAAGAAAAAAGACAAACAAAATGTTAGAAGAAAAACCCAATTGCTTTTCAAACCAAAACCTTCAAAGTTTACAAACACAATTTATTCTTTTTTTTTTTCTGTCTAATTTATTCATAACAATGAGTCCATATATATATATATAAAGTAAACACATCACGCATGAAATAATTAAGAGATAAACAGTGAATGGATTTAATTTGGAAGAGTATTGCAAACAAAAGAGTGTTCATAATCCCTCATATAGCTAAGCTAGTATTTAGATGAAATAAAGTGGTCAAATTTCTGAATCTTTAGAAAGTAATGTTTGTTTTAATTTTCTTCCCACTAATGGATAATATTTAGATACTCACTAGTAAATATTTTATGTACTCATTTTCTGATTTGACCCAATTAAAAGATGTCAAAATGTTCCTTGTCTTATAAAGTCCAAAAAAAATAATTAACATGTCTATTGTTTTTTAAAACAATAAATATATGTTAAAATATCATTGAGTCAAAATAAAAATATATAGAGTACTTAGTGAGTACTCACTAGTGAGTCCCCGAGTGTTGTCCCCCACTGATTCTTTTTATGAAACCGTCTAGAGAAATTACTACGAGCATACGTATATAAAACAATCTTAAACAATTAATGTGCCTACGTGTTTGAATTGATTGTTTGGTTTTAAGTGGAATTTAGGGTGCAATTACCAGTTAAGAGTCTGCTTTCATTATTGGCCTCCTAATGGAATGCAAAAATATGGTGTAATAGCAACTGATATATATATATATATATATATATGGTAAGGTTGTAAAACCAACTCACTAAGTCACTGTTTAGAGCTATATGCCTTCTTTCTTTTTCCAAAAAAGACATAAATTCAATTAAATTAAGGGAATACGGATTTAAACTCGAGTGTAAAGTGTGTAAAAAAAAAAAAATTAAACTGCTTTAGCTAACTTGACTAAACTTAAATTTTCATGCTTTCATTTTAAAAACAAAGTCTGTTAGTTATGGTTTGTTTCATCTATCATCATGATAGATGGATGGATGGATGGATGGGATTTTCTTTTCAGGTATATTATATATGTATATATGGAACGTAAAAAACAAAGTCTGTTAGTTATGGTTTGTTTCATCTATCATCATGATAGATGGATGGATGGATGGATGGGATTTTCTTTTCAGGTATATTATATATGTATATATGGAACGTAAAAACTTACCACGATGGGTCTAAGTACTCAAGAGGTCAGGTTTCTTCTGATGATCATGGAGATTTTGGGAATGTTGTTCCCTCCAGCTCCAACCTGATGAGGGCAGAAACATCTATGTAAACGTAGTGTTGTATTATTGGTTCTCTCTCGGGGCTTGTGTAGGTTCAAAAATTTAGATTAATATAAAATATGGAGATTAACCATTGAGATTTGCTCTTTTATGGTCAACGGACGTACGTACTGTGTGGTCGTGAAAAAACCCTAAATAAAACTGTAAAAGCTTACGTCCTGGGGATGGGGTAAACATCGAGCAACTTTCGAAAAAGGACGTGTCAACTTAATCAATCACGGCTTTCAAGCATTTCCACGACCAACAACAGTAGCTGCGGCGGTGCAGTTCTTTCTCTGCCCTCCTCCACCCGAAAAACCCAAAAGAAAAAACAGCAGCAGCTGAGGGAATCCATTGAAAAATCCAAAGCTGGTTATAAACTCCAAGTGCTTTGTATTCGCTTGTGACTGAGAAATTAACCTTCACAGCTTAAATCAAGCGGAAATAATTATTTGGCTAAAATGTTGCCGTCTATCTGGATTTAATGTAACATTCACAGCCTACCTTCAAGTTAACATAAATATGCAACAAACAAGTATAATCCTTATATTCTTTTTTAAATGAACTAACTAGTAGTTTCGTCACGGCAGTCCATCCTTTCAGGGCCGAGAAGATCCACAGAGGCATTTCAGCCTCTCCACGACCACCATCGTGTGATTCACGAGCGTCAAAAATCGAATCATAATGTGCCATTTGAAATACGAATCTAGAATTCTGTCTCCAACCACTGAGCACCCCGTGGTGGTTAATTCTAATCCTTATACCAATAGGACTAAAAAACTGTAATATGTAAAAATAAACAAATAAATATCCACTAATCGTAAATTAAACCAAATTACAACCCAACTTTTCCAATAATATTTGACCAACAATGAAATTTTTTGACTGAGTAATTCATAGATAGAGATGGAAGTTGCTTTTCAATTTGCTTGTGTATATAGGTGGTATATTGTACTATTTGGACCCGTTTTCAGTGTCTAAATTAAACCATTGAAAGTTTTTTTATTTGAACCAAAAAAAAAACTGCATTCTTATTTTAATAGACCATTACTCAGCAGTATGCACCCTCCACACTTTGGCAATATAATTAATCATCATAACTAAAATTAGAGAAAGATCATCTCATTAAATATAAGTTAATTATTTAACTAAGAGGGACAAAGAGAATTAAAGGGTGAGCTAGGCTCATATTCTCCGTGGAGGGATCTAATTATTATATGGTGCGTACTTTTGAGTTTTGTTGGTATCTTATGACAAGAAAGCGTAGAGATCTACAGAGAGAGGTGCAGAAGAGAGAGAAAGAAAGAAAAAGAGGGGACAAAGCCGCGACTTGTTAGCTTTAGAAATTAGAAATTTTGAACGGGTGCAGTAGTCTACAGCAGTACTAGTACGTGTATCTCATCGATATGCTTTTGGTTGACAAGGAGAATGCCATGCATATATATTGGGGAGAAGGATTTATCTATGTTGAAATTTGTTGTGAAATTTAGTGTGAATGTCACACATGTGATTATATAAGAAAGCAAATTAAACTAGATTTTTGTAGCAACCTTTAAAAGTCTTACGTGAAAAAGTCTTAAGGAGGTAAAAATTTTCTTGACGCATGTAAGGTTGTGTCGGATCAAAACCTTTTATATATAGAGGTATGTTTGTAACCTCATTACAACACACAAGATCAAGAAGGAAGTAATAATAACAATATCCTACCCCTCTTTTAACTTGCATCCTTTGTGTCATACATTTACAAAAATAAACAGTATGATATATTGTACCCGTTCCACTTCTATCTCTAGCAAATATTATATCTGTCTCATTTTTGTATATTTATAACAAAATCGTGATATTTTGTTTCATTAATATATGTAAAAATATTATCCGATTGCCGTCAGTCTCCAAGCTAGGGCTTACCAATATTTTATATTAATATTGAAATTAATGTCAAAAAGAATATTTGAAAGATGGATGAGATAGGAGATATACCTACATATGCACTGCTGAACATATATACCAATAAACTATGGTTGCTCCTCGGCAATAAGCGTCGTCCTTTTTGTTTTATTTCTTGATCACCATTTAGCTCCCTTGTCAATATATTTGACAACCTGTGTTGGTGCTTTCCACAGTCTCTGTGTCTCATCGCTTAACCATTTGCAGAGAAATGAGATTTCTCACGCATATATTTGCATGCATTTCAGGTTCTCTCTTTCGTGCATGCAATGATCTGCTTTCTTTTTCTCTCATACCTTGAAATTAGGAGTGTATATAATGATGCCCCTTTTCAGTTTTCAATGTTCAGTGTTAGCCAAACGCAAATGTAGCTTAACATTGTCTAAAAAGTCAGTCAATTTTATGTGCAGTATAGGTCATCCGCCAGTTACAGTAGCACTCTCTCTCTCTCTCTCTCTCTCTCTCTCTCTCTCTCTCTCTCATAAATATGTCTCTATTCAAAGAGAAAGAGAGAGAGACTCCTATAAGAAAACCAATCTATAGTTTTAATATAATTAATAAACTTTGAAATTCAAGATATATATTAGAAATTTTATATATATATATATATATATAGTCTCTACTA